TGAGGAACCCAGATTTGGGTTTCATGAACCCAGGTCTTGGGTTCCTCATGGGATAAGAGAGAAGGCTGGGTTTTTATTTGCTGGGTTCGCGGAGGAAGAAGGCTGAGAAAGAGGAAGGGGCGGAGGGATAAGAGAGAAAAGGGAGGAAGAAGAAGAAGAAGAATATAATAATAATAAATTATGTGGGTTTTTATTTAAATATGAAAAAAATACCACATGAAAAAAAAAAAGAAATGCCATTTTATCAAGTTTGTTTTAGCATAATTATAATTTAAATAAAAACTTATAAAGTCACATAATTTATTATTAGATTATATAGATAAATAAAACTTATAATTAATAAAAAAATGAAAAACATAATTTAAAGACAAAAAAATGTAAATCTATAAAGTTGAAGGACTAAATTTAACATTTAAGTTTTTTTTTTTTTTTTTTTTCACACGGGGGAGGATGACTTGGAGGGTGATGTGGAGGGTGTTATAAATCCACGTAAGCATATTTTACATATTGGCATACCCACGTCAGCTGTTCCAGTTAAGTTAACGGCAAAAATTAACGGAAGGACCAAAAAGGGGCCGGATTTGTGAACAGTAAGGATCAAAAAGGGGATTTTTTCGGTACAGGGATCAAAAAAGGGCTTTTTCCTATAGTAGAGGGACCAAAAAGGGTATTTAACCTTTTTCAAACTTCAAAGGGGTTAAACTCTTATTGGATAAGGCCGGCTGACTCATCTCTTTTTCCTTTTTTCTTTTCCTTCCTTCTTTCTTCCAGCCATTTTCCGCGTCTGCTCTGTTTTCTTCTCCCTGCTGCTGCCGAACATCACTAGCATTCCAGCGTCCCCATCTGCAAAAATTGGTAAGAGAACTTGATGGATTTTGTTCCCCTCTTACTCAAGAACAAGTCTAGGACTTAGAACTTCTCCCTTTTGCAGAGAAGCCGCCGGATCTGCTCTGCTTCCTTCCCCTTTGCCGCCGGCTGCTACTGGTTTCCCTGGTAAAATCAGTCCAGAAACTCCTCTTTTTCAGCCTTGATTTATGTTGGGTCACTCTAATCTTGTTATTCCTTCAATTGCTAGTGGCCCCGTGAAAGTCCTGCAATTTTCCCGCCGGCTCCTCCCTTTACCGCCAGCTCCAGCTTTGCTTGTTGAGCATTTCTGGTAAGTTGGCTTCTTTAATCTCCTGAAATTGGTTGTTTAAGTGCTGATTTGTGAGTTTAAGTGGCTATATGAAATGGGTTTGAGTTGTCCGAGAGTTTTGTTGAAATAGGGAGGATTTCAGCAACTTGAGCATGGGTTTTGGTTGATGATTTATGTAGGAAATTAGGGGGTTTGGCTCTTGTGTGTGAGGTCCGAGAGAAAGAAAGGGGAGAATCCCGTGAATTGGCCCCTTTTTTGTCAAGGCCGGTTCCCCCATTGCTTGTCCATGAAATTGAGGAAAATTTGCATATGGGTAATTATATAATGGTAGATACATAGATAAATAACCAATCCCGGTTAATGCTTAATTTCCGGATAGAAAAGCAGAAATGAAAATAAATAAAGGAATAAAATTTCTTTATAGATATTAACTCGAGAATATTGTGAATAGGTCCTTGTTTGCCCTGTGGTCTTAGCACTTGGATTAGGCCTTCTGTTCTGCGTGACTAAGGTAAGTAAATTATGGTAAAGCCCGTAAAATTTTGAAGTATATTTTAATTGTTTTCTGAGATGGTGGCGAAGTTTAAATGGATTTTAATTGCATTTGAGCATGATTAAAAAGGGAATTTGAACTTTCATTATTTTCCTTATTTTCTAGAATTGAGCATGCCCACATGAAATTCTTCGGTTTATTTTTTGAAAGTGGGAACGATCGTGAATCGTGATTTCTGTAAATCTTGCTTGGTTTTGTCTCCGATATGGTCGTGTAATCGTGACCCCGCTAGTGGGGGAGGTTACAAACGCTAGCACATGTCGACATGTTCGTGATAGGACCGGTTCGCTCGTGGCCCTACTAGTGGGGATTATACACTAGAACTCGTTTGCCTGCCAGTGGGAACTGGCCATGGCTAATAGAGGATACCACTACGTGATTTTATTTTGCATTAATGATTTGTTCTTGAAATGCTCTGTTCTTGACACGCTCTGTTCTTGAAACGCTCTGTTCATGTTTTAACCAATTATTTGGCATGCTTTAAATCCTGATTCGGGCACCCATATTTACTTACCGAGATATTTTATCTCACGGTTTCCTTGTTTCAGGTAGTGAGACCCAACGCGTGGGAAGCCCGGGGGAGTGACGAGCTAGACGGCTAGGCATTTTTGGAGTTAGTTCTGTAGCTAGGCCGTTAGTCACCCATGCTGACTTAGGAATTTTGTGTACAGAACTTATGTAGTTGTAGTAAGGATTGTATAAATAAATTATAACTCCTTGTACACTTTGACAGGTAAATGTGTAGAAAGAAAATGAAATTAGATATGACCTGAATTATCTGATTGGTAGCATGAACTTAGTAGGTTTCGAGCCTTGTGCACTGTGGGACTCGTTCCCGAGTGCACGGCATCTGTTTTGCTCTCGGTTTGGGGCGTGACAGTATACTAGAAAAAGACTCTAATACGGGAAAAAAACCAAAGGCCACTTATGTCTTAAATAAGAAGCAAAGAAAATTAGTGTGCCAGTAGCTAAAGATCTTAGATTTTCCAATGGTTTTGCGTCCAACATTTCTTAGTTGTGAATAGATAGAAGGTGGGAGTTTGCAAGATGAAGAGTCATGATTGTCATGTATGCATAAAAAATCTCCTTCCAATTGCATTTCACGATTTTCTCCTAAAACAAGTTTGGGAAACACTTATAGAGATCAGTGAGTTTTTCAAGGTCTTATGTTCTCCAACCATTCATGTTATAAATATGGAGATTTGACATCTGAAGATTGTAGAAATAATATGCCAATTTGAAAGATTCTTCCCTCCTTTTTTGGATTTGATGAAGCATCTAACAATCCACTTTCCATATGAATCCAATGTGGAGGACCAGTATAATTCCATTAGATGTATCCATTTGAGGGGTATTATTAGAATACCTAATTTTCTTCACATCTATAATATAAAACATAATAATTTTTAAATATAATAATTTTTTAATATTTTTCATGATCTAGATGAATGCATGGATTGAAAGGTTCAGTAAAAAATAAAGCAAGTTCAAAAGGATCAATATGCGAGAATTATATAATGAGTGAGATCTCATACTTGATCTTGCTTTATTTTGAAGGAAAAGTTGAAACGGGAAGTTAGCACATCCCTAGGAATCTTGTTTGGGTTAGCCCTTTCTGTCAATATTGGCTTTTCAATAGTCTATAATCATGGAAACCAATTTGTTCTCTATAACAACAATGAGTGTTGACAACAGAGGAGTGTAATGCTGCAATGTATTATGTTTTGATAAATTATGAGGAACTAAAAAAATGAATTGCGTGAGTGCATTTCCCTAAACCTTATTTAACTACATTTGAAAAATTAAACGAATTGTTTTAATTTACACATGACTAAAATGAATGGTTGATTAGGGTTTTCGAAGAGGAAGAATGTTAGAACATGACTCCCCAACAGATATAGATGAAATGTTCCAATTTGTGTTGTGGTTTAAAAAATCAGTAAATTTAATCTTAAACTTTAATTACTGTTAATTAATTATCATAAACTTATAACTAATAAATAATCACTCATGTGATATAAGATTTATGTGATGAGTTTGAGGGCATAGATGAACATTTAATCGGTTTGGCTCATGGCCCTTGTTAGGTAGTTTTATGCTACAATGGCTTTTGGAAAAATGATTTTCAATTTCACACTGCTTTATATGAAAAAAAAAAAAAAAGATTGATAACGATGTATGTGTTACAAGAATCATAAGAACATAATCAAATTTGGATTTTTATAGGTTGTTGTAGGAAGTGATTGAGCTTCAATATGTTGGATCTAAACATCAACAAATGATTGTTCTATTTAAATGCAATTGGTATGAAATTTCTCCTACATGAGAAATTGTGGTTGACCAAAAATATCATCTTGTTAATTTTAATTCAAATAGAAAATTTAGAACTTATAAAACATTCATCTTAGCAAGTCAAGCTAAACAAGTATATTATACTCCATATTGATCACATAATTTTGTTAAAACAGAATAGGTTACTGTGTTGAAATGTAAGGTGAGAAGTATTATTGAGATTTAAGATGAATAAGAGGAACAACATAACAATCTAGAACCTATTTTTTAAGATGATGACTATTTTTTAAGATGATGACTCTTCAGCTCCCCAACCGACCCATTTAAACTTTATATTTTATGAAACTATTTAACATATTAATAAGACTATGGCTAGAATTAATGTAGAAGTTGAGGATGTAGATGATGAAAAAGAATTTGAGGAGGAGGAGGAGGAGGAAGAATTTGAAGATTATTATATATCTAAGGAAGAAAATATTGAATATATTTCAGAGAGTAATAGTAGTGATTAATTAATTAGAAATATATATAAACTTTGTTATTATTTATATGTTTGTATGTATGTGGTATTTTCTAACACAATGGGTAATATGTAAATGTATTGATATAAAAGAAAACTTAATATGTTGTTTATTTATATGTGTAAATATTATCTCTAAATTTCAAATTAAATTTAATTTTTTAAAAGTCTAAACTTTATTGTACTTATGATTTTAATGATTACAAAATACATTTAAGTAACTAATTGGTTCATTTAAGTGTGCTGTTAAACTGCTAAAAGATAGCAAAGTAAGTAAACTAGAATTGCACTAAAAATGGACCAAAAAGGTTGGGCTATGCAAAGAGCTGGCTTAAAAAAATCTGCAACCGGCTCTAAAAGGTAAAATTGCAGAAAGCCGGCTTTAGAAGCTGCAGCCAGCTTTACAGGTGAAAATTTCAAGTTCATTGTTTCGCGCGCGCGGAAAATAGACGCAAAGCCGGTTCTAACTTTGTAGCTGGTTGTAAGGGCGCATTTAATGCACAACAGTCGAGTTATTTGAAGATTAATTTATGTTTTAAAGTCAGAATCCCAAAGCTTGCTTTACGTTTTGTAGCCGGCTGTGTAAGAAAACAGAATGTGCAGAAAGCCGGCAAAGCCAACTCAAGGAATATAAACCGGCTCTACGAAGAAAACAAAACATGCAGGAAACACGCAAAGCCGATTGTACTAACAAATCTGCAACTCGAAACTGTGCGACCTATAGAGCATTTAATAAACCCCAACGGCTAGTAATGGCTATTTTCGACCATGAGGTTATAAATATGGTTGGTAGAAGATTTGGAACAATTTTGAAAAGCATTGTATTGAATATCTTTACCTACCAACTTGTGCTTTAACTTGAGATTTTGATCTTTGAGAGATTTTTACTTATAATCGTCTTCTTGTTCTATCAGTGAGTAATCTTGGAGGTGTGATTATTCCTTCAAGAGTAATTTGTAGAGAGAATTGTTTGGGTTTATCTTGTAAATGGGTGAGATTTGAGAGAAATACTCATCTTCTTGTAAAAAAATTGAGTGGCTCTTTTAAGCCACCCTTGTTCTTAATAGTGGACAGTGTGGAAAGAATCCTTAGTGAGTGCAGCCAAGGTAGAAGACTAGGCTCCAAGTGGTTAGACCGAACCTCTATAAAATCATTGAGCAAACTCTTCTTCCTTACTCTCTTTAATTCTTTGTTTTGTGGTTGCAAAGAAAAAGAAATTTTTGGACTCCAATTCACCCCCCTTTTGGAGTGCATTGAGCCAACAAACCTAATGCAGTTTTTTTTACAATCATATACTAATGTTGTGTTGTTGTTAATTTGTTTGTAATGAATTCCTTAGTTGGAGCTTACAGGAGTGATAGGATTGTTGATGTTGCTCTCTAGAGACTTATCGAGAAAAATCAATCATAGGTAATTGGATCATCTAGTACCACTGTCAAGGAGACCCAATGAGAGACATGCACTGATGATAGTGACACTAAATCTAATGCACCCTTACCTTCCCAATCCAAAAAGGGGCAAGGTATTAGAAAAGATAAAAAAATGCCAGAAGATCCTCCTAAAAAGTTGAATCTTAGGAACTAGGATAATAAGACATTACTTCCCAAAGTTCAAAAGAATATTTCAATTATCTTTAAGTCGAATCTACGTCATGCATACACAAGTGGGACTCAAATTCTTTTGAGCATAAAGAAGTGCACTAGCAAGTTTTCTGGGTTTGTAGTTTTATTGAATAATTTATAATGTCATGTATTTATTTATATATGTTCATTTTTTTTCTACGAATTAATGAATACATAAATACATGATACCTATATATATATATATTCAAAATAGATACGGGTGGGACCCTGCTAAGAAGGATGCCATACACAAAGCATTTTTGAAAGTTTGTGAACAACGATATAACCATATGATGACAAATATCCATACCTTATGTAGAAAGAAGAATTTTACAGAAAAAAAGCCATTCATGCTTGATGAGGTTTGGAAGAAACTAAAGTACATATGAACGGAGGACCCGTAGTTCAATGCACACAAAGAGCAAGCAAAGTTGAATCGAGTTTAGGGCCCCAAGGTGGATCTATGGATTACAATGACTTTATGCAAAATTTGGTAAAAAATTGTTACCCTTATATTTTAGATTTCATATTATAATTTATATAATATTCTTGATGTTAATTGTAATATTTGTGTGAATTAACAAAGCATTTGAATATATGATATGATAGAAAGTAAAAGATCCTAACAATCAGGATCCATCATTTGTTAATGTGATCGTTGCAAAAAAAATGCAGCATCCAAAGGACAAAAATAAAATGTCAGCATTTATTAATAAGCAAGGTTGAGAGTATACTATAAGTATTATTTCTGATCATTATTTTTGCTTAAAGGTTCATTTAAGTGATATATAATTATATCTTCACTAATAATTAAATTGTGTCTTTCAAATTCTCCTCAATTTATTCATTTAAATGAAATTAAATTACATTTTAATTATATTAAATATCATAGTTGGAAGTGTATATATAGTTGAGTATGTTTTGTACTTTATCCATAGGGGTAAAGTTTATTTTTTATGAAAAACTCTATCAAATTTTCTAATATGCATTATGAATTGTAAAAATTTAAGTAATTTTATTTTGTTGGTTATAATTAGGTTAAATATCATGGTTGCAAGTATATTGTTGAATATATAATGTTTTTAGAATTTGCTTACAAAGGTAAAGGTCATTTTTTATGAAAAACTCTACCAATTTTGTATATATGCATTATGACTTGTAAAAATTTAAGTAATTTTATTTTGTTGGTTATAATTATATTGAATATCATGGTTGTAGGTATATAGTTGAGTATATAATGTTTTTATAGTTTGTTTACATAGGGAAAGCCTAGTTTTTAAAATAAATGAATTCTAATTTTTTTTTAAATTTATTATGAGAAAAATTAAATGATATAATTTTTTTGATTTTAATTTATTACAGGAACAACTAATTGTAGAGGCCACTTAGAAATATGGGGAAGACACCATTGAGTGGCCAAAAATAGCTGATACACAACTTTTATCCCAAGTTTCAAGTAGACCTTTCAAGAATGAATAACTTTATGAAATGCCCATTTACATGAACCTTGTTAACCAAGAGGTCTCACACCATAAGCATTCTCTCTAGTTCTATTCAATAATCTCACATGTGGTGCTATTGCAGCAAATTGTGACAAAACTACAAGAAATCAACAGACATGTCAAGAGAAGGAAGACAAGATGGAATATATGTTTTTTATAATGCAAGGAAGAGAAGGGGTTAGAACAAGTGAGGGATCATAGTTGGCTTTGTTATAAGTCGATTGTTGCATGAAAAACTTCTTTTTGTATTATGCATTAGTATGTATGACAACCTCTACATATATGATTAGCTATATAATGACATAGTATTTTAATTATTATTCTAGGACATATACTTTAATTATGATTCTAAGTTAAGTTTTATACTTATGTGTTTTTAAATAAACTTATTCTTAGTTTAGATGTTTTAATATATATTTGAAAATAACTTAGTAGACTTTTTATTGCATTGCTTATAAATTTTATAACAAAACAAAGAAAGCAGGAAACAAAAAAATGTAGAAAGTAGGAGATAAACCAACATGCACATTAAGTGCAAGAAGGGGCTTTTTTTCATCATTAAACTTCACAGAAAAAAAAAAAAAGTAAGTATATTTTCACAATTTGTTTCGGTCAGTCAATTTGAACAACCTTCTAATAAAAATGCCTCTTTCCCGTCATAATCTTCATTAGGGAGATGAATAACATAACCACAATATTTCGATCACTCATTTTAACCGAAATTAGAGGAAAACCTCTTATATTTTAATTTGGTCAACTATTTGACCAAATTACATATATACATTATCATTTTCTGAATCAATATTTTTGGTTAATATTTTTGGCCAAAATAAGCAAAAGTAAAAAAAAAAGAAAGAAAAAAAAAGAAGAAGGAGCTTCACCTTAGAAGTAACTGAAAATTTTCAATTTTTTGCTATTTTTAATTTAGTCAGCTGTTTTGACTAAATTATTTCTCCAATTTCTTTTGGTCCCCACTCTATCATTTGAAATTTTTGCTGAAATGGTTTTGAAATTTCCACCAAATTTATTTTGATCAATTTTATTGTCTAAACTATACTTTAGCCTATATAAATGCATCAATCCAAACTCTTTTCCTCAGTTCATCTTTCTTTTTCTTTTTCTTATTCACTTCTCTAATTTCTTTTCCTTAGTATTTTATTATCTTTCTTCTTCTTTTTTCATTCATATTTATATATTCCCTCCAAAGCTAATACTAATTCCTTTCTTTCCCATCCCTTTTATTTTCATTTTCTTTAATTATTAAATTATGTAAATTTAATTTTATTTTTTATAATCTTATGTTTTGTGTTCTAATTGTACTAATGATATAATTTTTTATTTTCAAGGTTCCTTAAATTGGTAAACAATTGGGGCGCAACATTTTGGAGGCATAAATATAGCATGATTTAATATTTCTACTCATATTTATGCTTTTCCATATTTTTTTATTTTATTTGCATGCATGATTTAATTCATATACTTTCATTAGCGGTTATATAAATGAATTTGACTTATTTGTGTATTTATGTTGGATTCTTTTTGTAAATGCAAAATAATTTAATGAGTTGTTTTCATTGTTTTACATATATAGCAATTTAATTACAATTATTAATAAAAAAAGTGTAATAATTAAAAATTATAAAAAGCCAAAAAAATGGATAAGAATTATATATTATTGATGATATTAAAATTGATTTTTTTATAATAGTAAATTTTATTATAATATTTAATATATAAATTAAAATTAAGCAAAATTTTTTATTTTTTTTGGAACCTACATGTTTATTTTTGTCAAAATATTTGACCGAAATATCAGGGATAAGATTATTGAAAAAAAAAATCAAGAAATGCTCAATTTATTATCATTTCGATCAAATTTATTAGCTGAAAAGATATTCAACAAATTTTCAAAAAAAAAAAAATCCCTGGCACATTATTTTGATCACTCATTATCACCGAAACAATGGTGGTGGAAATTCCTAAACAACAATTTCGGTCAATATAGTTTACCAAAAAAATCATTTGTAAAATACCAAAGATATACATTTCAATTAATTCCGTCATAGAAATTGGCTAAAATAGTGTTTTCATGAGTGCAGACTTTGCGACTACTTCACTGTTATTGACCAAAATATGTGATTAAAATAATATTTATACAATTTAAATAAATTTTTTTGTTTGAATATATGAGTTTTTTGATGATTTACGCAAGTCATTTTTCAATCAAGCATCTTAATCAAACTAATTTATATTTTGATTAGAATAAAATTTTCTTTGAAATTCTATTTCCGGCAGAGAATATTCGGATCAATAATTTACTTAATTATCTTCATCGAATTACATATTTTGGGTCAAAATATGGCCTTGTTCAATCAGTGTGCTTGACCTAAAAAGGCCTGTCTTCTAATAGTGAGACATAATCACCTTAAAAACATTTTGTAAATCCCTTTAGAAGCAACTTATAAAGTTGATGAATTTAATTAAATACATGCAATTCAAAAGATAAAAATGCATAAAAAAAAGTTTTTTAAAAATAAACACTAAGAAATTTAAAAAAATGATGTTGAAATTTGCCAATTTAGGTCAACCAGTTTATCCAATCTACTGGATTGACCAAGTTTAACCGTATTTTACCATATTTTTCTTCAAAATAAATTATAGTATATACCCAATCTATATTGAAACCGAATTTGGTTTAACTAACTGAATCAGGCTGAATTTTAAAACCATGCTTATAAGTTATAACACATCTAAATGTCTTAGACACTGATTGTACGGAAGATTTGGCCTGCACACACCTAACATATCTTTGTTGAGACTGGATTGTATCAAATCAAGAGACTCGATCGATCAAAAATATATAGTGTGCAATCCTCTCGCCAATTAATTTGCAAGTGATAGAATCGAGAACTCATAATGTTGCACAATAGGTTATGTAATGTTTATGGACAATTATACATACACCTAAAAAATCAACACACATCTCAACACCCAATGCTTATGAACAGTAAAATTACAAATTTATCCCTCTTCATTTTAGTCTTAAGTGTTGAGATGGGTGTTATATTTTGAGTGTATGTATAATTGTCCAATGTTTATACTTAAGAAAATGATGTGTGCATACCCGGGTGTTGCACACTCCCCATTGAAAAAAAAAAAAACGATCACCACCTGATCCAAAATTTTCTTTTTTTATATGGGGTGCACACCTGAGTGTTGAATCCAAATGTACACCAATCAAGGTCCTTATACTTAATTAATTTGTAATAAGTGGTCATTTAAATTATTTGGTGGGTGAATTGTAGATGAATTGTACGCTTTAATTTTCTTTAACAAGGTGATGATTTAGTTGTTACAGAATTGAGAATATTTCATCTCTTTCTCAAAACCCCTCATATCTACTACATACCAAAAAGAAAAATCTTCTTATCTCTTCTAACTTCCAAGATTGGAACTTTGAGCACGTCCAGTAAAAAATAAAAAAGAAAAAAAAAACCCTAATTCTCTGAAGAGCCTCCATAGGATATATTTTCGTCTCTAGCTCAAACCCTATGACAAATCCGGACGAGTTCATTTTGTTCCCTTTTTTTTCTTTCTAATAATCCAAATACGGATGGAGTTGTGTGCCAATATATGAAACGAAACATTTTTTCACATCATAAATGGAATGTGATCTCAAACTACTGCTTAAACGTCGGCCAAGGAAAAATGTGAAAAACACGCATAAAACATGCAGGTTTTATTGACTATGAAGTCGTTTTTCTTTCTCAACCATAAACTTGATGTTCTTAAATCTAGAAAAAGACAATAAAAATATGGTCAATTACATGTGTATGGGCTGCGTATAGCTTTTAATCTGTGCCTCAAAAAAAAAAAAGGAAAAAGGTTTTTGACTTATCTATTAGATTCTTCTAAGGTGAATGCTGAATGTTAGGCTTACCATTTCCATTTCCAGAAAGTGATTCAAGCAATCAGTTGTTGGGACCTGAGCTACCACTCTCCCCATTATCCCTACCAACCAAACAAGGTCCAATACTAAGACCTGTTTGGCTTTCTTTATTCATCAATGATGTAATGGCCGCCGCTACCGCAACCCTAAATTTTGGATCTGAAGCCATTGCACCAACATTCTCAGCTAAAGATTCCTGCCCTCCTCTTGGGGTATTAAAAATATTTGGATAGTTTAGTTTTTCCAATAGGAAACCTGGTTGGGGGCCGGAATTCTGTGAGGAGGTACCGGAGGTTGTGAGATCAAGAACAATGCCTTTACAAGGGTCATAATTGGGGTTTATGGTCCTGATGTTGGATGGATGAGGAGAGGCTGAGTTCAGCATGAAAGCATTGTTTTGGTAGGGGAGAGACGCTTGAGTGAAGGTTGAGATTCCATCTGAGTGAGGGTTGCTTGAGTCTAGTAGCATAAAGGAAGCCTCTGCAGCCGAGGCTGTGGAAGCCAGGGCCGTGGCTCCCACCGGAAGAGGATGATTATGAGTCCCTTCATAGGTTGTGATGAGAATTGACATGTCCTCCAAGCATCTTTGGACCTATATGTACGTAATTATCAATCACATCAAACTGAAAACAATAGAACATAGAAATTAATTTAAAGTAGTGTTTAATCCAATTGATATCTATTGATTATAAAATAAATCTGGTACCTGTTTCCTAACCGGGCACCCCGGCGCCACGGTGCAACGGTAATAGGCTCGAGGACAAGGATTTCCTTTGGCAATTTTCTGACCATATTTTCTCCATTGGCAGCCATCATTCAACTATTATTCAACATTGAAATAATTATCCTTATAATAAGTTTCAATTACGCCGGATATGAATTTAATTGCTGTAAAATAGAAATTATTAACGAAATTAAACTAAAAATATAAATACTCACTGTTGCAGCTTGGCATCTTGTTCTAACAGAAACCCTAGTTTTTCTATTGGGAGGGATAGCAACATGGCTTGTGATCCCAGACAAACTCTGCTGATGATTTCTCTGAACCGCCATGAGATTTGTGATCTCCTCCTTCTGCTCTTCCTTCCTTTCTTTCTGGTCTGATCCAGAATCCGAGAGCCCGAGGGACAACCCTAGCTCATTCTCTTTATCAACGTCATGATCTGTTGATACCGGTGATGTTTTTCCGACGAAGGATTTTCTTGCTTGTTCTTGAATTGCATTTCCATCAGTACTTAGTGAGAGAAAGCCTTGAGGAATATCCTTAATCAAACAGAAACAGATATTCATTTCTTTGAAAAATTAAAATAAATAAATAAGAATAGATGAGAACATGATTTACCTTTTTCTGGTAATTATTTTGCTGGATAACAGCAAGTTTCATCTGGAGATCATGAAAATTCTTCATGGTTTGCTCCACTACCCTCCTCAGCGCCTTGTTTTCTTCCTTCATGCGATTTATCTCCATTTGCAGCACAGATAGCTAATTAAGACAATTAAACATGAAACCTCAATTAATAAAAGAGTAATTCAAAACTTGGATGTTGTTAATATTCAGAAGATTATCAGACAAATACAAGTGCAAACATGCCTAGCTAGCTAGGCTGCATAAACTCCAAAACAGAAAATTAAGACAAGGGTCTATCGATGTAGCTAGGTTTTGTAAGAGAAATAGTATTAGCACCTCTTCTGCCTTCATGTTATCTTGTAAGGACAATTCCGCAGCATCTTTCATTTCTCCTGGGGCAGGTGCCATGGCCGCATCTTCTTCATCATCTTGGGATTGTTTTACATCTGGTTTCTCTTCTGGGTCATCATCTTCCTCATCTTGAGTCTCTTGGTTTGCTTCTTGTTCTTTTTGGACAGCGATTTTGAAAGAAAGATCGATCTCCATTTTCTTTCTTTCTCCTCCCATAATATAATTTGTAATTGCAAGAGAAGAGAAGGTAATAGTAGTAATTATTTCTTTCTTGTCTTAATTTTGTGTGTAGGATTTGCGGCTTTTGAGGCACCAAAGTCAATTCCCGCGTCTCGAAGACGGTATTATTAGACAGACTAGGGCGCATCTAAGCTTTGACTTTAATTGGGTCCTAATTAATTAACCCTCAATTAACTATAAACCAAATTATAGTTTAATAAGACTGGGTGGTCCTTGGGGCACCCCCTATATTTCATTATTTGTGCACTTTTGTTATAGAAAGACCATTTTACCCCTACCCATTCACTCCTTATAAGTTTGTTTGGTTGCCTTTTTGTTTTACCCCCTCCTAGGACTTCTATTTTCTCTACCCACACTCTCTCCCCGGTGTATTGCTATGATCATGTTAACAAAGTGGCCTTTTTGAAGAACGTTATCTTTTCCTTGGGAGTTTGGTCTCCAGGAAGTTTTTCATCCTTTATTACTTGAGAAAGTTTAAGAGTATTTTGCTTTACAACCTTTATTAAATAAATATATGTTTTTTTCAAGTTAAATAGACGCTTTGTCTGTAAACATATATTATACTTTTAAAATCTTTTAACAGTAACATGAGGTCAAATAGATCGGATAGAATTACATGGATTGATACAATTATTGCTTTTCCTTTTCGGTTCTTAATTCATCAAGCTCTTGTAAGATTTTTTTTTTTTTTTTAATGAAATCTCTGTTAGAATATATTGATAAAATATTAATGAAATAAACAGCATTATTGTCATTTTACCATCAAAACTAGTATCTGAAAATTTAAGGGGCAACCATGCATACCATGCATGCCAAATATATAACAAAGTTTGATGCAGTGGGTGCAAGATCATGAGCTGATTCGCTTTGGAATTTCTGGGTTAAGACAGAAATAATAATAATAAATTAATGAATAAAATTAAAAAAAAAAAAAGAAAAAAGAAAAGGGAGTTTTCTGACATCATCTTGAGCATATGGAATATAAGTCCTGTACGAAAACCCATAAACAAGAGGAACCTCTGGGATCAGATCTAGTTAATTGAAATTGTCAACTGGAAGACGTACCTCCTTCATCCATGTTCGGAAGCAAAACTTTTTAATCACCTTTTTTTTTCCTAGAAATTTATTCACTTTTTATTTATTATGCATCCATATATGTTAACTTAGAATACTAAATTTAACATATCCACAATAATTCATTAGTAATAAGTATTAATAAAAATTTGAGTGGAAAGAGTTCAGTTCTCCTTAAATAAGATTTCGAATTGGAGTCTTATAAATAAAGAAATAGGTATTGAGAGAGTTTCTCTCAAATGGAGTCTAACGCTATTTGATTCCGAATTAATCGGTATCCAATGTGATTCTCGGATACCGAAAGGTTAATACCAAAAAAAATATATATTAACAAAATTAAAATAATATAATTACAATGATACATAATATTATACATTTATAATTTTAATATGTCATTATATATAAAATTTGAAAATACTATAATTATAATACCACGTGATATTATAATTATAATATCACCATATATAATTATATTTTTTCATTCAATGGCTCATTTGATTATAATATTATATATATACTCATTTAACGATATGTTAAGATTTTAAACTTACAATCCACATTATACGTATCATTGCGATTTTTTAACAACAAATCTCCACATCATGATACATAATTTTTGTTGACTTCTTTCGCTAAACAAAGACTCTGAATTTATGTATGCATACGTTTGTTTCATGTCATGTAAAGGATTTTGTGTCAAAAACGTTGTCTAGGAGTATATATATATTTGGTTATTATATCTACTCCGTGCATCCTATCCTTTTCACATTGAAAAAGCAATTTTAACTAACAAATCTTCATATATATTATTTTTGTTGATTTTTTATGGAATATTCTTTCGGTACAATAGATGGATAAGTACACGGGAATATAATAACTTTTATTACTAACCAAAAATATGATTTATCAATGTGGTTAGGTGTTAGTTTTGATGTACATAATTCTTATATGGTATATTTTATGTATATGTATGTATTTATGTATGAATATGTGCAATTTCTTTGTCTTCTCATCGAAATTTTAGACACTCGTCAACTTTCTTTGTTGCTTTTAATTCTTTGCTACTATCTTTTGGTGTGCGTTTTTTCCACAGGCACACACACATATATATTCATTTATTTATTTATTGTAGGTATTGGACTTGATCAATTTCATTTTTATTTGTTCGCACTTGACATATTTGGAGTTAATTGTTGGGTAATATATAAATTTGAACTTTTAATCTGAACTTTAAATTAAAGTTTTTAAGTTAATATAGCTACAAATTCAGTTAAGTTCATCTTCATAGATATGAGTTTGGTGTATATATATAAACCTAACAAGTTTAATTCTTTAGACTTAATAGAAAAATTGAAGTGGTGATTAATTAACTGTACTTTAAAATATAGGAAAATGATAGATTTAAATGCTCCAAAAACTTTTAAGGGCACCTTCATCCTAATTCCTTCAAAATGTAGTTAGCCCATTGAAAGTTGAAGGTTGATGTTCTGTCAAGATCTAAATGGCCAAAAAAGAGAAACAAATAATAATTAAGAATTAAAAAAATAAAAGGATAGATCCCATCAACAACAATAGTCAGCACATTTTTAGCATTTGTTTCTTAAATTCCCTTGTGTTTCCTTATTACCCCGCACAACCTCGTGCAGTTCTCTTGCCTTTCAATAAATCTACATTATAAAGATACTTTTTTTTTTTTGGACAATTAAGATGAAATTAGGATGGGACTAACCCTAATTATATAATTAATTAATTATTCATTCTAACATTTCAATTCTACATCTAATTCAATCCATGGACCAATACAGACACATCCTTAACCCTTACTCAGTTTCATCAATTGCACGCGTTTTCCTTTTGACTACTTATACGTCTTCTTTAAAATCTAACTGTCAAAGTTTTTGTCAACATTTATCATTCAAGAAATACACACAACATATATCAATACCTCTAAGGCCTTGATCTAGTTCGAAAGATTTTATACTTTAGTCCAAACCTTGAAGATCTTGTTGCAAATCAATTAAATGGTTAAATAGTTAGTTGGGAATTAATTGAGTTGAGAGAATGAAGGGGTAGCTTGATTTAATTAA